CAGCAGGAAGAAACACCCAGGAGGCTGTGTCAGTGGACAGCTCATTTATTATGGCGGAAACAGAGGTTTATATAGGAAAGCTTCACAGGCAAATAGGTGGGGTTAGTTTTCTGGCAGGCAGGCAGGTAGAGGGAGGGAGGGGCTTCTAAGGCTACATGGCCTTTGTCCTGTCGTCCAGTCACATGATCTACAAGAGACCCAGTTAGGATTAAGGATTAGAGACCTAATAGTTTTGCCTGGGGCTTGTCCGGTAAGCGATAGTGTGTTTAGAATGGAGCGGGCCTCGCTCCTGCCGTCCTCACTGGGAGGTCTCCGGCATGGCAGTTCTCTAGATTCCAGGCACTCCTGACTTATCCCAACAATATTCAATTGAGACGTGGACTTTGAAAAGACCACTTCATGTATATGATATGTTTCCAATGAGATTCTAAGGTGTGGAGAGTCAGGGAACTCATATCTCAAGTTGCTCAATGCAATGTTAGGCACCAGGCTATTTCCCAAAGACATTACTTTGTATGGGGGAATTGTACGTGTAAAATAGGTGTCAGCATGTGGACTAGGCTCCTGTCTCAGTTGTACCCACAGTACTCCCACTTCCCCCATGATGCACCCCCACACTTGTGTTCTTGCTTTCATTTGACTTTCCCACTACCTAAGTGCATAGCTCTGTCTAGTCTGTTGCTGTGACCCAGCATTTAACAGCACCCAGTATACGACAGATGCTAAATAAATATTTATCCAAGGACTGACTCTGCATGTCCTGTACAAATCTGTGCAAATAGGTGTGTGCTCACATTTGTATTCTGTGTATGGATGGGATGGTTTGTTGGTTTGTGGGAGGTAGCATATCTCAGATGACTGGACTGGTGGACGACGTAGCTGAGGACAGAAATGTCTTGGACTTGGACTTTTTTCTTTCTGGCTATTTTGATGAGTTTTGGGTGTCATGAAACTTCTAAAATATGTAGAAAGAGCTACTATACATAACCCAAGTGGAAGATGAAGATTCACTGAGAAGTGTTGCATGCTAATGTACCAAATATTGCTCAGAATCAGTCTCTGGAAGAATGAGGTGACCAGCCATCTGATGCCTCCTGAACCTCTTCAGTTTAGAAGAGTTCTGAAGGGTCTTCCATTTCTTCTTTTGTTTGGATTTCACTCAAAGTTCCTCATATTTCCCACAAGCATCTCAGTGTCCGTAAGCCTTAGTTATCTTCTTGGTATTCAGTGTTCTCTGGGAATTTCCAGTCCTTGGTGACTCATAAGCACCCAGAAGAAACAGTGAGTGCCTTTCCCTAGACACAAGGGGAAGGGGGTGAGTGCAGAAGCACCGTCTTCAGCGATGGTGGGAGTGGGACGCAACCTGCCAGTATTTACTCACATTAAACTCTGACATCAGGCCTGGAGAGCGGCCATCATTGCCAGGTTCTGGCCTTCCCATAGTGCGCACAGTTGATTCTCCTTTCCAGATTCGTCTCCTGTCACTTTCCTTTTCCTTTCCCAGGCTCAGGCCACAGCAGCCTTCTTGCTGGCCATCAAGAGTTGTCAAGTAGGGGCCTTGGACTCTGCTTTCTTGAGCTGTCCCCATGACTCACTCAAATGTCACCTTCCCTAGCCTCCTCATCTGAAACAGCAGTGACTTTAGCCACTGGTCTTTATCTGAATTCACTACTTCTTATGACACTTTTCAAATCTGATAACACATTACACATACCCTGTGTTTTTGATCAGACAGTATATCTATCTGTCTTACTTTTTGTTGTTATTGTTTTGAGACAGGATCTCATGTAGCCCAGACTAACCTTGAACTCACTATGGAGCCAAGGATGGCCTTGAGCTTCTGATCCTCTCACTTCTACCACCCACACACTAGGATTACAGGTGTGTGCCACCATGCTGGCCTTTGCTGTTGTCTGGGTCACTGTTGTGCCCCCAGCATCTGTGCTGGTACCTGCCCAATAGTAGGTCTTGGGAAAATACTGAACAACTGCACCTGTGTCAGAAGAAAACAAATGTCATTTCAGTTACCATCAGACCTAAGCTCAATTCCCCCAGAGTCCTAGGAAGCAAGATTTTTGCCCTGAAGTCTGGTCACTCATCACTGTGCCTTTGTCTGTCACGTATGCCAGTACCTTGGGTCCCACAAAGCCAATAACCACTGATCCTTTCACACCAGATGGACCTGAGGCGCCAGCAGGTCTCCCAGACAGTGGAAGAGGTACAAAAGGTCATCCACCGTCTGACAGTAGACATCAGCTACCAGGATGCTCGATTCCAAGCTGTGCCTGCTTCTGACACTTACAATGGGAACATCAAGGTAAGCAGGTCTCACCCACTCTAAGAGCCCTAGACAGCACCCGCACCCTTGGATGGGAAGGATTCTACTCACAGATGGTGCTCAGCCCACCAAGAGCGTGGTGCTCCTGTGCATTTCTGAAAGCATCTTCCAGCCACCACCTAGACTCCCTGAGAGTGCTCGGGTGTCCTACGCACTCCTAGATGGCAGAGACTGGGGTCGGAGAAGTCAAAGGGCTTAATTAAGTCCTATTTGGCCCTTGTCCTAATTGGCTTTCTGTTGCTATGATAAACACCATGACCAAAAGCAATGAGAGGAAAAGGTTTATTTCACCTTACAGGTTATAATCTATCATGGACAGAAGCCAAGGCAGGAGCTCAAGTCAGAACCTGAAGGCAGAAACTGAAGCAAAGACCATGGAGGAAAGCTGCTTACTGACTTTTTTCCCTGACTTGCTCAGTTACCTTTCTTATATCGCCCATTTCCCTCTGTCCCCCACCTAGAGATGGCACTGCCCATAGTATGCTGGACCCTCCTACATCAATTAACAATCAAGAAAATACCCACAGACATGCTTGTAGGCCAATCTGATGGAGGAAATTCCTCCGTTGAGATTCTTTCTTCTCAGGGGTATCTAGGTTTGTGTCAAGTTGACAAAGACTGACCAGCATAGCCCTAAAGTTAGAACTCACTAAAAAGTTTCTGCTCCTGAAGCATGATCTGCCTAATGGTCAAAGCTCAGTTAAGGAGAGGTTCATTTATTAGGCACCAACTGAATAGACAAGGGGCTAGACAGAGGAAAGTGAGGGAACTGATGGGAAAATAGTTGAAGGTGATGGTTTCTGGGGTATAGGTGGGGGAGGAGGAAGGTGGAGGAAGTAGCCCCAGGGAACTGCAGGAGTGGCAGCCCAGTCTCTCTCTGCTGAGGGATCCCACTGAATTTAACCACCAGGGTCAATGCATAGCAACCAGCAGTAACGACACATGGGCAGAGCTGTTCTGCAGCAGCAATGTCACACAGACCTGCCGAGAACCCGTGGGAAAAGACTGAGTGCTCAGCTGTGATCTTCCGAACCCCCATCATTCTTGGTCTCCATTCTTCTTCTTCCACACATGAACCTCTTTCACCTTGCATTACATTTATAGGTATTCATAGCCTGTTTCTCACACCAGTCTGTAAATTCCTTGAGTTTAAGGACCGTGTTTATTAATTGCTTCATTCTTAGCTCCCAGCATGGTAGACACTGAGCCTATGATGAATGAATGCATGGAGGAGCCAAAGAGTTAGCATGAGCACAAAGAACAGTAGCCAGCCTGTCATGTCAGGTCGGTGGACATAGGGCCTGCGGGTTGGTGGACACAGGGTCCGCTCACAAGGCTTTGAGACTTGTGGGGTCTTGAGGCAGAGTCAGATCTCATGAAATTCATCACAAGATGAAAACTGTAAAACTAGGTTGGATCCTGGAATTCCAGAATTGCCCACTTCCTCCTCAGGCCAGCTTCAAGTAGACAAACACAGTCCAAAGTCCGAAGACACTGTATTACTCTCCCCAGACCTGGACCATTTAGAACTGATAGCTCAAAATACATCTTGCGGTAACAGCACATGTCCTGTATATTAAACTTTAAAATAGGGCTAGGAGTGTAACAGTTGGTCAAGTACTTGCCTGACATGCACAAAGCTCTGGGTTTGATCCCCAGCACTGCATAAATTGATCGTGGTGGTGTACACCTATAATCCCAGTACTCGGGAGGTGAAGGCAGGAGGATCAGAAGTTCATGGTCATCCTTGGCTACATATCAAGTTCAAGGATAGCCTGGGATATGGGAAACCGTGTCTTTAAGAAATAAAAAATTAAAAGTAGCACATAAAATGGCTTTAATTTTTAATTTTTTCTTGGACTAAATTAAGCAAGTATTTAGTGAGCACCATTTATGTGATTAGTAATGCAATAGCTGTGTTGCGAGTGTGGGTGTTCCTGTTGACATGTGTGTACATGTGGCACTTGTTTGTGGAAGCCAGAGGTCAACATCACTTCCTCAATGGCCCTCTAACTTATTTTTTTGAGACAAGGTCTCTCACTGAACAGAAGCTCACTGATTCAGCTAGATCAACTGAAGCAAGTCCCAGGGATCCTCCTGTTTCTGGTTCCCTAGCACTGGGATTACACAGAGCGCCACATTTGGCTTTTTATATGGGGGCTGGGGATTCAAACTCAGGTTATTATACTTGTGTGGCAAGTGCCACCCCAGAAGTCATGTGGCTTTATGTCTAAACCACTGAATGTTGTTCTCAGCATGAGGCAGGATCTGTCAGAGCTGCTTTTAATGCTCCCTCTGGAATTAGTCACTGTCCTGGCCAGGGGCAAGAGTTCACCATTGTTAGAATTTTCTGTGAACAAAGAGGGTGCCCCATGAAGTGAACTGCCCTGCGACAGCTGACAGCCAGAGTTCAGGGTCCCTCTGGTGGCTCTGCACTTAGCTTGCTCTGTCCTCTGCACTGTGGACTGCCTGCTTTCTCTCTGGCCATTGTTGAACTGGTTCCTGGAGAATGGCAGTGGGTGGATTCTGATCCCTTTTTCCATTAAACATAGAATCATCTCAATGGCTCACATTGTCCAGACAAACAGGCCTTCATTTCACCTTTGATTTTGTCAGGGTTTAGTCATTCATACTGACCCTGGGTCATCTATATAGGCAAAAAGAAAGGGTGGCACTTCATAGAGTCCTGTCAGCTCCTCTCTCATCCCCTCCCACTCTTCAGTCACACCAGAACTTTTAGCCATTCTAGGTCATTCATTCTTGATTGACAGCTAGTCCAGGGCAGGAAAATAAGCATTGGACAAGCTACCAAAGAGCTGAATTCAGATTCCGGCTCTCCTGCTGGTTGCTGATATCCCTGGAGAGGTCTGCAAGTCCCTTTGAACCTTTGGTCTCTCACTGGGCATCAGTGCCAGCTGTTGAGACCTAACTACACAGCAGGAGACTGGAACTGTGAGCACAGAGCTCAGTGGCTACTGGCTCCCTTGCTTCTCCACTCAACTTCGGTTCCCTGTAGAGTTCCAGGTTTTCATCACTCAACTTGTTGCCTCGAGAAACCCCAAAGTCAGTCCATCTGTTTTTCACAGCCTCATGATAAGTCAATGGCAAAACAAAACATAATTCCCTAGCAACTCCAGGTCACTTCAATGTGGACCTCAGCACATTGCTGAGGGCTGAGTGGTTGGTCACCTGAGCTGCCTGGCTGGACAGGTCAGCAGCCTTCTGTCACTTCCTCCACTCTGTGAACTCAGCTTGTTTCTCTCTTTTCTTGACCCCAGGTTTTAGCCCCCAGCCAGTTCCTTATCACAGTTCCACTGAACGGCCTGGCTGGGTACAGGGAGGCCCGGGCCCAGCGCTGGCGTTACTATACCCTGCAGGGCACTAAGCTCTCCTGTCCCTTGAGGGACCCTGAGGGTCTGCAGCAGTGGCTGGAGGCAGAGCAGTTCATGAAGATCCTGTGGCAGTGGCATGAGGCAGATGTGAACATTGAGGGTGACATTGTGCCTGCCAAGGTCCTCCAAGTGTTCCAGAAACTGGTGGAAAATGCAGTCAGAACCTGTCAACTCTCAGGTGAGCAGATGAGCAGCAGGTCCCCTTTTGCTTGGGGGTGACCTGTGACAATGGGCGTGTGCCCTTCACATCAGTGAAATTAATTCCCAGGACAGAAAGTAGGTTCCCCCCCCGTTTTGATATACAAAAGGTTGGAATTCATTCTCAGGAAACTCTCCTGTGATTTAGAAACCACTGTCCTGGCATACGCACATCAGGTTGTGGGTTTTATGCCCTTCCCAGACCCCACAGTACTTATTAAAATAGCAAATTTGGGGCTGGAGAGACAGCTCAGCATTTAAGAGCACTGGCTGTTCTTGAAGAAGACGGAGTTCAAATCCCCAGCTTGGCAGCTAACAACCATCCATAATTCCAGTTCCAGGGGGATCTGACACCTTCTTCTGTCCTCTGTGGGCACTGCATGACGTGAGTGCACTTACATACATGCATAACACTCATACATATAAAATAAAAATAAATTTAAAAAAATTAAAAATAATAAAATAAAATAGCCAATTACTCACACCCTCCCAGAGTCTGGTTTTTGGCCCATTTCTGCTCCAACACCCACATTGACTGTATTCAATATGTGGGGATGGCATGCTTGGCAGACACCAACCTACTACAGCATGAAGTCTTGAAGTCTGAGGACTGATTAAGTTTGACAACTACAAACACTGAAGCTACAGTAGACTGACATATGTCATGTGCAGGCGTACACACATGCACACACATATGTACACGTGGAAAAAATAGCTAAATTCCTTAATTTTAAAAGTATTTATAAACCAACAAGAAAAAAGATGAGCTGATTAGTTGAAATAATCATACACACACACACACACCCCACATACACGATAAAAACAAGAATCATGGGAAAAGAATATAAATAGTAGAAACATTCCAGCTAATGTTTCAGGAAATGTACATTAAAATTTCTAGCAGATTTCCAGGCATGGTGGATGGTATACACCTGTCATCCCAACACTGGGAAGACTGAAGCAAGAGGATCACCACAAATTTGAGGTCAGTTTGGGCTACATAGTAGTACCCTGTCTCATAAAAAGAAATGGGGCTGGAGAGATACAGTGGTTAAGAGCACATGCTGCTCTTCCAGAGGACCTGAGTTCCATTCCCAGCATCCATGCCTGGCAGTTTACAACTGCCTATAACTATAAATCCAGGGATTTGATGCCCTCTTCTGGTCTCTGAGGGCATCTGCATGCATGTGCACACAAGCAGATACATACATACACATAATTTAAAAATAAAATAAATCGCTGGGCACAGTGGTACACACCTTTAATTCCAGCACTTGGGGGGCAGAGGCAGGTGGATCTCTGTGAGATCAAGGTCAGCCTGGTCTACATAGTGAGTTCCAGGACAGCTGGGGCTACAGGAAGACCCTGTCTCAAAAAAGTTGGAAAAACGAGGGGCGTGGTGGTGCATGCCTTTAGTCCCAGCACTTGGGAGGCAGAGGCAGGTGGATCTCTGTGAGTTCAAGACCAGCCTGGTCTACATAGTGAGTTCCAGGATAGCTGGGGCTACAGGGAGACCCTGTCTCAGAAAGACCAAAAAAAAAAAAAAAAAAAAAAAAAAAAAAAGAATTGGAAAAAAAAGAAAATGAAACAAAGCAACAAAAACAAAAACCCCAACAACAATAAGAAAAACTGTGTTGAAAGTGCCTAGCAGATTAATAGCTGTGAGAAGATCAATCCTGCTGGGTGTGGGTGGGCCTGGGAAACCAGCATTTTCATATGTTATTCTTGGAAGTGTAAATTGGTGCTTTATTTGAGAGGGCAATTTGTCCATTATTTATTTCTATAATGTGCTTACTTGGCATTTCAACAATTCTGGGTCTAGAAATAAACTTTTGCAAACACACAAAGAAATACAGCCAAGAATATTTCGTGCCACGTGTTTTATAACAGTAACTAACTAGAAAAAGAAAATCTAAATGGATGTCCAAGAAAATTGGCTAAGTAAAACAATGACGGCTCTGTCTGGCAGACTGCATGTAGTCTCTGCCGAGTGAGGCATACGCACTCCCACAGGCCCTAGAAAAAATGAACAGACTAGAGAACTCAGCGTCAAGCACTTAGCAAATCCATTCATTGAAAAGGACAGGACACATTTGTAAATATGTTTGTCTAAACAAACCATCTCTGAAAGTTTCCATCCTGATCAGACGCAGCTCATGTCTGGTGAATGTTTACTTTACAGTAGATGGTTTTACTTACTTAACTTGCATGGATATTACTTTAATTGCATGGATTTTTTTCATTCTTATGATAATTTGGGACTACAGGTCCAATTGGTAGAGTGCTTGCCTGGCTTGCACAACACCCTGTGTTTGATTCTCAACACTGCATAAATTGGACATGGTGGTGCATACCTCTGATCTCTGCTCTCCAGGAGGTGGAGGCAGGAGAGTGAGAAGTTCAAGGTCATCCTCTGTTACATAGCAAGTTCAAGGACAGCCTGGGATACCAGAGGCCTTGTGGAAAGAAAGATAGAGGGAGAGAAGAAGGGAGGGAGGAACGGAGAGAGGGAGGGAAAAAAGAAAATAAAGCAACAAAAACAAATACCCCAACAATAAGAAAAACTGTGTTGAGGGAGGGAGGGAGGGAGGGAAGGAAGGAAGGAAGGAAGGAAGGAAGGAAGGAAGGAAGGAAGGAAGGAAGAAGGGAGGGAAGGAAGGAAGGAAGAAAAGAAAGACTTCTTTTTGGTTCTTATTTTACAAATGAAAAAACAGAATGGGGCTGAGATGGCTTAGTGGTTAAGAACACTGGTTGTTCTTGCAGAAGACCCAGTTTCGATCCCAGCACCCACATGGCAGCTAAAAATTGTCTGTAACTCCAGTCCCAGGGGATCCAATACCCTCTTCTGACCTCCGCAGGCATTGCACTACACAGATACCGCATACACATAAAATAAAAATAATAAATAAAAAATATTTTAAAAAAAGAAAAAAGAAAAAACAGATTAAGTCACTAGCTCAAGGCCACACACCAAAGCCAGCTGCAGAAGCAGGGTGTGGACCAGGCAGGCTGGCTCCAAGTTCACCTACTCCTAATGCTTTATTATTACTAGTGAAAGTAGGATTGAGAGTCAGGCTGAGCCAGGCCAGTAAGGTGCTTTCAGTAAACAGTGTGGAAGCGCTAGTCCTCGTCCTACCCCAGTCCAGGTGGCTCTGAGGAAAAGTGGACCATCAGCCATCTACCACACCCAGCTAAGGGCAGCCAGGTAACATGAGATTCCATCTTCTCCTGAGCAAAGAAAAGCAAAATAATACATTCTGACTTGAGACACTCATTCTTACCTGTAGCAAAGTCAGACAAACAAAACCACCTCCAAGTTGGAGCTGGTGTTAAGAACACTTAGTGCTCTTGCAGGACCTGGGTTTGGTTCCCAGTACCCACATGGCAGCTCATGACCATCTGTAACTCCATTTCCAGGGTATCTGATCCTCAGTGGAGGGGTTCTCCATGCAGCGGTGCACATAAACTCCCACAGGCATACACACACATACACATAAATTAAATATATATAAAACAGAACAAAAACATCTGTGTGTTTTGAAAGAAAGAGGAATACCTTAGCAATGTGGGCAGTCTGGCTTGTGAACCAGAAACTTTATCACACACATTTATTTTCCCTCTTTGATTGGAAAATGAAACAGTAAGGACTTCTTTCCACTTACTTGATCCCTTCAACAGTGGCTGTGACATGCTCCAAAGGGTTATATGGTTACAAGGGCTTATGATGATAAATACACCTGGGTGAGGCTGGCTCCTGGGATGGATGGTAGAAACACCATCCAGGAGACTGATCAGATAAAAGCAAGTTAGCCAAAGGCATCTGAAAGGGGGGCTGCTGTCCCCTGTGCCTGCCTCACCTCCAAAATGGGCATCTAACTGCTCGTGAGGCCAAGAACGCATCTTACAGTAACAAATATCATCCCTTTTCATTTTATTCTATGACTTTCTTTGCGTTGAACCTTCTGAAGAGAATCTATCAACTTAAATGGAAACATGCTGGGCTGAGATTATTGCTCAGAAGTATGTTATTAGCATGTATTGAGGTCCTGGATTCAATCACCAGCACCATACACACACAGACACTATGTACTCTTAAAGCTTTGGAGGAGAGGGGAGAAAAGGGGAAGACCCACCGAGAACAAACTTTTCTAGTATGGCTCTGACCGTGGCTGGCTGGCAGTTGTCTGGTTTTAGGGGACTTGCCCTTCTCTTGGTGTGTGTCGAAAGTTGTCCCCACCCCCAGCAGTGAGCACTGTGCTGCTTGCATCAAGCAAGGCTTTCTCATCTCAATTGCCTCCTTGGTCATTTCCCATCAGGCAAGGTCAGCGTGCTAGAAAACCGTGCTGCTGTTTGGGTTGCCATGGAAACGTCCACAGGCCAAGTGGAACTAGAACTGGCCCCCACTGTGGAGATCCCCACCGCCTGGTCTGAGAAAGCCCATTGGCCTCGGTGTCTGAAGCGCTGGCCTTCCCCAGAGAGAGTGGAGTGCATCAAGGTATGGGTGACCCGGCCCCTGGCTCAACCCACATAGCATTAACAGCTTGTCCAGTCACACCACTGACCAGTTTCCAGCCTTCTCAGAGCTGCTGTTCTCAATGTGTGCCAGACCCTGTCCCACCCTGCACCTGATGAATGAGACTGGGGCAGGGCCCAGCAATCCAGGGTTCTGACACCGGGGAATGAGAGCGGCTGCAATAACACAGCCGGAGCTATCTCCCGCTCGCTGCTCGCTGAATGCACCCACGATGCTTTGTTTGCCCCCCACCCCACCCCTTTGAGTCTCCATGTTTTGGCATTCATATGTGAGTGAAAATGTGCACTATTCATTTTTCTTTTCATGATTATTGCATTTAACATATTATCCTCAAATACTATCCATGTTGCTGGGAGTGACTGACTTTGATCCTTTTTTATGACTGTAAAATAGTCAGTCCATCACATAGACACACCACATGCTGTGGGCCATGGGTTTTCCAAGCTAGTGAGCTGCTCTCTTCTTCAGTCAGAATTACCCTTCTCATTTTCCTAATCTTTTTGCTTCTTCAGTCATTTGGGTTCAACTTGGTGGCCCGGTCCAACTACCACTGGCAGCTGAGCTTCTCCCAGGCAGAACAGGTACTGTTCGAGCAGCTGGATGAGGATGGGGGCTGCCGCAGGCAGTGTTTTGAAGTCATGAGGCAGCTGAAGGAGGACATGTGGTGTCCTGGGAGGAGGCCGGTCCTCACCTCCCATCATCTGCAGGTGAGCGAGGGGAGTCAGTGGTCACTGTGGGGTTGAGGGTCCTGAAGTGAGAGTTTCTCAGACGAGATCAGCGTGTGTGATGGGTTCAGGATTGGACTGCAGGAGCCATGTTTTCCATTCCACAGATTTCCACACGTATTCCACTCATGGAAATATATAAACCCCGGCTGTGCATCACTTCCCTGCAGAGGTGACAGAGACTCTAGCTCAAGTCCTTCCCTTTCTCAACCCCTTTCCTGATTCTCCCTCTCTTCCCTTCTTTTAACTTATCAATAATTGACTTTAACACGTAACTTTTGTACACATTGTGTCACACATTTGTAAGATATGGTATGATGACATTGTAACATCTGTGTGGAGCCAGAGTAGTTAGCATTCCCCTCTCCACAAACGTGTATCTTCTCCACTACAGGGAAGCTTTGAACCCTCCCACATATTTTGAATCATAATAATTTGCTGTTGACTAAGTCACACTACTGTGCTGGAGAGCACTTGAATGTATTCTTCCTATTTCTTTTGGTATTATCATCCAATCTTCCTCTGTCCCTTCTCCCTCTCTCCTTCTTAACCTCTAATAATCACTATTTTCTCTCTACTTCTGTAGAATCAGTTGCAGTAGTACACACACAACTGGAAGTATGTGGTATTCGTCTTTCAGTTCCTCGCTTATTTTATTGAATATAGTTCGTCCTCCATTTGTCCTTATTCATGGCAGGACTTCATTTTTATGGCTGAGTAGTATTCCATCTTGCCGACATTACCACATTTTCTTTACGTCGTGTTGATGGACATGTAAGGTGGTCATTTTTTTGGCTATTGAGAACAATACTACAGTAACCACGGAATGTAGGTATCTCTTCCATTTCTAATTTCATCTCCTCGGCATGCATTCTCAGATTGCCTGGAACTTACGGTAGTTCTCTATTGTAGGAACCTCTGATCTGTTTCCATCGTAGCTGTACTAACTTACACTCTCACCAACACTGTGTGAGGGCCTCTCCTCTGTCTACTGATTTTTTTTTGGAGTTGGAATGAACTGGTGTCTCACTGTGGTTTTCATCGTATTTCTCTAAGGACTGTGACTCTGAGCATTTCTTAAATGCCATTGCCACAGTCTTCTTTTGACAAACAGCTCTCCCTATCACTTGCCCACTTTTTCATGGTTTTTTTTTGCTCTTTTGCTGTTGAGTTCTGTATCTGTTCAGAATATTAACCCCATGGATATCGGTTTGCTAACATTTCCTCCGTCTCGCCTTGCCCTGTTGACAGGCTCCTCTGCAGGGAGGAAGCCTCTGAGTTCAGGATGAGTGAATTCTTTGCCTTTGCACTGGTTGCCTGTGCTTTGGGGTCTTTTCTGAAAAAACTTCACCTAAGCTAATTTCCCTAAGTGTTTCCCCTGTTTTCTGGAGTTCTCTAGTCTCAGATCTTACATTAAGATCTATGATCTACTTTCAGCTGATCTGCTATCTGGTAAGATGTAGGGTCAGTTTCCTTCTTCACTGAGTGTGTGCGTGTGTGTGTGTGTGTGTGTTATTGTCTGTCTATCTATCTATCCATCTAGGTATCCATCTATCATCTATCAGTCTATCTCCAGTTTTCCCATGTCCAATTAGTTGAAGAGATTGTCCACTCTTAAAATCTCAACTGTATACTCTTTGTTTTTTATGTGTATTCGTGTATTGCCTGCATGTATGTGAGTGCACCCATGTCATGCAGTGCCATGGAGGTCAGAAGAGGCTGTCGGATCCCCTGGGACTGGAGTTATGGATAGTTGCTACCTGCCATGTGGGTGCTGGGATTCGAACCTGGGTCTTCTGCAAGAACAACCAGTGTCCTTAACCGCTGAGCCATCTCTCCAGCCCCCGATTGCTTTATTTTTTATGAGCATGTTTTATCGCACATTAACTGAGTTGGTTTGGTGTAATATTTCCTCATGTGCTTACAACTTGCACCGATCACATTCAACCTCCTTTTGTGTCCCTCCTCCACCCACCCTTTCCCAATGTCACTCCACATTCATGTCAACTCTTTCAGTTTCTACCTGTGAGAAGGTGACGCGCAGTATTTGTCTTTCTGTGCCTGGCTTATTTTGCTTAACACAGGCCTCCATTTTCTCCTATTCTGTAGGCGACAGGATTTGATTCTTTCTGGCTGAACAATCCTCCAGTGTGTATTTATGCACCGTTTTCCCTGTCTATTCATTCCGCTGTTGATGGCACCTAGCTGGTTCCCTGTCTTTCTGTGTTGACAGGCTAGAAAGGAAGGCAGGGTGCAAACCTCACAGAACACGTTAACAATTGTCTTTTAAGTTAAGAAATGCTGAGAAGAGCGGGTGTGGTGGCGCACACCTTTAATCCCAGCACTTGGGAGGCAGAGGCGGGTGGATCTCTGAGTTTGAGGCCAGCCTGGTCTATATAGTGAGTTCTAGGGCTACAGGGAAACCCTGTCTCAAAAAGACCAAAAAAAAAAAAAAAAGAACCGTTAATTAGATAAGAAGCAACCAAGATTTATATATATATTTTAAAAATCGCAACTTGGATGGGGACTAGAAGAGGTTAGCCAGCTACCACAGAGATGGGGGCTGGGGAAGGGTTAGTGGCAGGTCTGTGTGGGGTGGGGGAGGACAAGCAGGCCCAGTGTAGGTGTGGAGAGGATGCCTCCCAGGGTTGTGTCTAATATAACTGGCTGGATAAGCAACTTTAGAGGCAGAGCAGGTTTGTGGGGAAAGGCTATGAGTTCACTCTGGGCACGTTGAAACAGATAACTTTCCAATATTTAAGAGTAAGCAGGTCAGAGGAAAAGTCTGGGCTGGAGAAAATGCCTTGTGGGTTCTCCATCTTAGTGAGAACAAGACTCTGCTATGGGGGAAGGGGGGAACGGAGCAGAAGAGGCCCGGGGAGACACCTTCAAGCTCCAAGTCTGGCAGGTACCTGAGGATGCAGTGGGAGGAATACCTGAAGAGTGGGAGAGAGCCTGCAGAGCGCTGTCTTAGAAGCCAAGTAGACGATGGCTGGGGAGGAAGGGTGTGGGCAGAGCATCACCTGGCTGAAGGGGGAGAAGAGGTGAACCAAAAAAGGCCCAAAGTTCAGAGGCATGGAGTCTCAGGCTTAAGGAGAGCAGCTTTCAGGATTAGTGGCCAAGGGATTCCTCCCAGAATGGACAGAGGCTGGGAATGAGTGGGAGGACAGGAAATGAGCAGCGTGTCTGGACTTGCAGGCAGGTGAAGGCTAGGCAGGCGGGAAGACTGCAGAGGGGGATGGGAGAGCTCTGACCCTGCTGAGAGGTGCTCTTTCCAAGGCCATGAAAACTCAGCTCTGATTCCTGTCTCTTCCACAGACGGTGCTCTTCTGGACTTGTGAGAAGTATCCTCACCTCAAAGACTGGCAGGTCTTCCGCCAGTCGCTCCTGCGCCTGGTCCGGAAGCTGCACAAGTGTGTGAGCCAACACTTCCTCAAACACTACTTTGTCCCAAAGAGCAACCTCCTTCAGTCAGCCAACCCCAGCGAGCTGGACGCAGTGGCTCAGAAACTGGCCTTCTTCCTAAAGAACCCGCAGGTCACCGTGCCCTGAGGCAGGCCCTTTGTACGTTCCTTCTGGCTTGACCTTGTTCGCCAGGTGGTTCCTGTGTCAGGTGCCAGAATCCCATCCAGAGAAGAGGCGACAGGTGGCAGAGGGAATAAAACAAGCCAGCAGCTCGTGGGAGAAGCAAAACTGCTTCTGACATAGGCAACACAAGCCTTTCACCTCACTACCTCTCTTGGGGACAGCCCTCATCCAGCTTCCCCAAACCACCGCTCCTGAACTGGTGACAGACCTAAACTGATTTTTCTTGGGCAGGCTCAGATGGTCTGACAGGGAGAATGGAGATGGACCCGGGCCAGGCCAGACATTAGCCTGCTTCTTGGAGTGTTTTCCTTGGACTGAACCTAGGCTCATTAGCTTCCCATTTGCTAAGTGGGGGGTGTGGATATGCCTGCCTCAGAGCTCGGCTGCCTGGGGCACTGACTGCCCAGGACCTTGATGGCATTGAGGCAACATAGGTGCTGCTGGTTGGTTTAGCAGTTGGTGTCTGAGTCTTGAAACAGGACCCAGGCACTGACCGACAGCCCCACCTGGTGGCTAGCATCCTGTGCTGACTCACTGCACTCCAGCTCCAAGCTGGGCCAGTGGTTCATGCTTTTGAACTCCTGAGGGCTTCTCTCTCTAATGGTGGAGGGAGTCCTTTTGAGGGGTAGCACAGGCCCAAGAAGAACACACAGCTAAGACTGCATCTGCCACCCGAGGCCAGACACAATCTTCTCTGCTCCTCGTGCTGTGGTCAGGACAAGAACGTCCTTCTACTTAACAAATGAATGGTGTGCTGTGACCTTGCATGGACCCACCTCAGTGTTGCTCACCTCTGGGGGCGTTCCTAACTTCAGTCCATTCATCCACTTGGTTGGGGATACATAAATACTGATTAGACACGGAGAAAATAAAGAGCAAGATGGAATAACCGGAGAACACAAGAAGTAAACAACAGATCCAGAAACATGGTCCCTACCGACAGAAGGAAGTCTCTGGAGGAAACAAACTGAATCTTGAAACAGAGAGTTCCTGAAGGAGAAAGTGTGGACACTGAAGGGGCAGGAACAGTGACCTCAGGCAGGCTGGGAGGGGCTGGCATGGGTCCCTTGGCTGTGCGAAGCTGGGAAGGAATTGGCATTATTATGTTCTAGGGTCAATGACCACCAAAGCAGAGGGACTACAGGTCTGACACACACACTTCAGGTGATTGTTCTGATGGTCTGTCCCCGCCCATTCAGAAGGGTCCCACAGTCCATAGCATTTCACACCCCGAACACTGACCAGGAATTTAGGAACTCTTGGCAAGGACATTGACTTCTTTGACCATGTATTTAATGCTCCTCAATTCCAGGAGATCATTTATGACTCTGGAACAGTCTACCCAAATATGCAAAACAAAGTGAAATTTCTAAAAAAATGAACCACTAGTTTGGGGGACTTTTTGGGGCCATGTGTGCTGAGGATTGAACCATGTGCTCTGCCTCTGAGCTGCATCCCAGCCTTTTTACTTTTTATTTTGAGACTGGATCTCATTAAGTTGCCCAGGCTGGCTTTGTTGTTGTTTTTTTTTTTTTTTAGTTTTTTTATTTTCATGTATGAATTATACAAATAATGGGTTTCATTGTGACATTTTCATACAAATGTAAAATAAATTTTGATCGTATTCATCTGCATTACTCATTCTTGCTCCCTTTCCACTCCTGAGGATCCCCCTTCAAGTCTGTTTGGTGTGTGTGTGTGTGTGTGTGTGTGTGTGTGTATGTGTGCCAATGACTTCAATAAAGGTTACTTTCAGGAGCATGGGTGAGGGATTATTTGCAGAATGGATACCTCACCTGTGGTTACACCACTGAAGAAAATGTTTCTTTCACCCCTGGCAACCATTAACTGCCTATAATCCTCAGGACAGGTTGGGGCTTGTGAGTTTCCCCAGTCCATGATGGAAGGTTGATGAGCCCAATCTTGTGCTGATCATCACAGTTACTGAGAGTTCGAGTATAATGACTATGTCATGACTGGAAGACAGCAGTACACAACACTCCACCCCTCCAACAGCTCTTACATTTTCCCACCTCCCTCTTCCATGATGCTTCCTAAACCTTGGAGAAGGTGACATAGATGTCCCATTTAAAGCTAAACAATCACAGCCACTTATCAGTACTCTGACCACTTCTGAGTCTCTGTAGTCCCTGCTGACCATGGCACAAAGAAACTTCTCTAGAGATGTCCTAGTTTGTTTCTTCATTGCTGTGACAAAACACTCTGACCACTACCAACTTGGGGAGGAAAGGGTTTGTTTAGCTTACATATCCTGGGTCACAGTTCATCCAGGAGCCCAAGGTAGGAACTCAGGGCAGGAACCTGGAGGCAGGAGCTGGAGCACAGGCCATGGAGGAATGCTGCTTACTGGCTTGCTCCCTTGGCCCCTGCTCAGCCTGCTTTCTTATGCCACACAGGCCCACCTGCCCAGGAGTGGCACCACCCACAGTGGGCTGGGCCCTCCACATCACTCATCAAGAAGATGCCCCTCAGACATGGCCACAGGCCAGTCCAATAAAGGAAATTCCCCAACTGAGGCTCCGTCAACCCAGATGTGTCAAGTTGACACTAAAGCTATCCAGCACAAAAGCTGACAGCAGCATTAATCTATGGGCATAAACATAATTATTTAGAAGGTCATTTCATGGGCACATATATTTGTTTAGCAAAACAACATTAAAGCTTCCTTACTAGATAGGGCCTGGGACCTCCTCAGCCATGGACTTTTGACTGGATTTAAAGTACCAGATGTAAATTCCCTCCTGGGTAGCAGGCCTCAAATCCAATCAGAAAATGGTTGGTTACCCCCATAATAGTTATGGCACTATTACATGAGTGGTTACATCCTCCCTTGGCATGTCAGTAGTATAGTATGACGATTCTCCCTCTGCAGCCTGCAGAGCATCTTCTGGCACTACAAAAGCCAACCACTAGGGATGAAGCTTCCAGCAAGATCCCAGCTTGAATTCTCTAATAATTACAACTGAATCACGTGGTATGTTTGCAACAGGCATCAAGTTCTTGTGGGCAACCAACAGCAATGGCAGTACCCTAGGCCAGAAGAAAGTGTCAAATCCCTATGCACTGGAATTACTAAGGGTTGCTAGCCACCATACAGGTGCTGGGAATCTAACCCAGGCCCTCTGTGAGCAGCCAGTGCTCTTAACCACTGACCCATCTCTCCAGCCCCTTAAGCAAGTGTTAAAACATCTCACAAGTCACAGAATGCAAAAGGTGAAGGTCGGCTGTGCAGTTATTTAAAAATTGTGTGGAGAATGTAGAGAGGATGGTGATGGTCGCTCCAGTTGGCTGGTGGATTCTTCCTGGGTTAGAGCTGCTTTGTCCAGGAAGTTGCCTCCCATATGTGGCCAGCAGAGGGCAGCAGGCCACCACAAATGAAAAGGGCCAGGTCCTGCGGGTCCTTCTTTCCCAGAGCCCAGAAGTCACCCTCCTAGACCTAGAAGCCACATCTGGCTCCTCCCCAACAGGTGGATTTCAGTTGATGCTAAATCTTTGGCCTTTTGTGGCATCTTAGGATAAGCTCCAGTTTTTGTGCTCATTGAGCTCTAAAAGCCCAGCCTGCTCGAGAACAGTCCAACCTGGGCGGTACAGTTGTCCAGTTCTGGGGGTTCTGGGAAAGCACTGCACAGAGCAGCAGCAAAGTCTCATCACAAGCACTGATCGGTGTTTGGATTTGTTGCCGTTTTTCAATTCTCCAAACGACGTTTTCCATCTCCCTTCACTCCTCTAGGGCCCGGGCTGTGCTTTCTAATGGCCTGGTGGATTTTCAGCCACCGAGATGAACCCAACTCTGAATATGGTCTTCAGCCGTGATCTGGTGTGACTTCACAACCTCCACAAGTTGCCTAAACTCTCTGAGTCTACACTTCCCTCTCTCCCAAAAGGCCTGTCTTAGGTCACGAATTGTATCCCTCCCCCAGTTCATGGGTGGAAGCCCTAATTCCCAGTATCTCACAGTGCCGCGGTTAAAGAGATGAAGCTAAAATGCTGTCTGTGAGGTAGGTCCTTAATCTAATCTGGCTGGCATCCTTCTGGTAAAAAGACACTAAGGTTCACAGAGGGGCACCAGAGATGTGCCTGCAGCTGGATGACCCATCCTGTGTCCAGGCACTGGAGGCTGCCAGTACAAGCCACAGAGAGCCCACAGAAGCAGCTGATCCTGCCCATACTTTGACCTTGAACTTGTGACCTGTGGACCCTTGAGGGGGGAAAAAAATCATCTTAAAGGGACCCAGACTGTGCTATTTAGTTTCGGCAACCCTAGCAGGTAACACAGGCATCAGAGGGGGAAAAGAAAATCCTACCCCAGCACTTTGGAGAGAGTAATAGAAGGGACAAAGGGGCAGAAAAAGTTCTCATGCTCTGAAAGAATTGTTTTTAAACCTTCCATTATGAGCATGGCTTTATCAGTTTAGCCTAATAGTTTTATTGAACTTTTACTTAATGTTCTTTGAGATTATGTTATTAAGAATATAGTTTAGGAATTTTAGTATCTTCCCAGATTATTGAATCATTTATCATTATAAAGTGACTTTTTTAACACTTGTAAATATTTTGCCTAAATATTTATTTTATTATATAGACACAATTTATTTTGGCTAGTGGCTGCTTTCAGTCTGCATTCTTTTGTTGTTGAAATGGTGAGGTTTTGGGGGGTTGTTTTGTTTTGTTTTTGTTGTTTTTTTTTTAGTGGCAGACTTTTTAAAGAGCTCTCAGGCAGTTGGGGTCTTTTGACTATGTTTACAGACCGTGTGTGTATTGTGATTAACAACCACTTGGTGTCATTGCCCTTTTGTTATTACTTAGATTTTACTTGACCATCTCCTCACTCTTCCTAAGCCTACAGGCCCACCTTCTTGCCTTTATTAAAATAAAGATGACTTTCTTTTTTTCCTTTTCTTTCATTGCTTGCTTGGGCATTCCATACCCTGACTCAGTTATCTTAGTGGTTACCAAGACTGTGGACTGCAATCCAGAATTAATCAACATCTCTTTTTTTGGTCTTTTTGAGACAGAGTC